GATTTGAAATTGAGATCAGTGCCAAAATCGTGCAAAAGACAAAATATCACGAATCATAGGACAGGGATTGGTGTGGCAGTGCCAAAATCTTGTTGTATTGGGCAACAAGATGTGATTGATCAAAATTTTTGACAATTTTACTTAAGATCATTTTTGATAGGCTCCACTTGTTCGTAATCAAAAGAAAAATACACTTCTTTACCTCTTTGTTGGACCATCGGTGCATACATAATGGTCTCTGTTAATGTGAAATGATTTGAAATTGAGATCAGTGCCAAAATCTGTGCAGAAGACAAAATATCACGAATCATAGGACAGGGATTGGTGTGGCAGTGCCAAAATCTTGTTGTATTGGGCAACAAGATGTGATTGATCAAAATTTTTGACAAATTTTACTTAAGGTCATTTTTGCTAGGCTCCACTTGTTCGTAATCAAAAGAAAAATACACTTCTTTACCGCTTTGTTGCACCATCGGTGCATACGTAATGGTCTGTGTTAATGTGAAAGGATTTGAAATTGAGATCAGTGCCAAAATCGTGCAAAAGACAAAATATCACGAATCATAGGACATGGATTGGTGTGGCAGTGCCAAAATCTTGTTGTATTGGGCAACAAGATGTGATTGATCAAAATTTTTGACAATTTTACTTAAGATCATTTTTGATAGGCTCCACTTGTTCGTAATCAAAAGAAAAATACACTTCTTTACCTCTTTGTTGGACCATCAGTGCATACATAATGGTCTCTGTTAATGTGAAAGAATTTGAAATTGAGATCAGTGCAAAAGACAAAATATCACGAATCATAGGACATGGATTGGTGTGGCAGTGCCAAAATCTTGTTGTATTGGGCAACAAGATGTGATTGATCAAAATTTTTGACAAATTTTACTTAAGGTCATTTTTGCTAGGCTCCACTTGTTCGTAATCAAAAGAAAAATACACTTCTTTACCGCTTTGTTGCACCATCGGTGCATACAAAATAGTTAAACTTCGCAAAATACAACTCGAAACTATTAAACTTTGTGGAATACAACCTTGAAAATGGTAAACTTTTCGGACGCCCTAGATTGATAAACTTTTCACAAAACAATCTTAAATCAGCATGAAGCTAAAGTTAGCAAAAGAAACTAGCGGAATGTAGACCTTGACACATTCAAATAAACAAAAA